ATTTCAATGGTGAAGTCCTCTGGAAATCTTCAATAATTGTTGTTGATTGCAGATGTGTCTAGTAGTTCCCATTGATTTAGCTTGTAAAGCGGGGAGAATGGCGCTAGGCTTACCGCACCGTGACGTCACTGCTGGAAGATGGCAGGGGGGAGGGGTTACTAGATTTGGACAAAACTGGCCGCTCCCAGACTCAGCGATCACAACGAAAATTATTGTTTTGTATTTTTTTTACTGCTTAACAATAAATTCATTAAATCACAGCAAATGTATTAGTTTTAGGTATAAATAATGATCCATTGATTATTCCTGCTGACCGGACTTTTAAAGATGCTCTAAATCAGGCATCCCCAAACTCTGTCCTCAAGGCCCCCTGTCCTGCAGGTTTTAGAGGTTTCTCTGCTTCAGCACAGCTGGTTATAATGATTGCAGTAGACCAAAAGCCTGTTAATCAGCTTTCAATTAAAATCAGCTGTATTGGAGCAAGGAAATCCTTAAAACCTGCAGGACAGCGGGCCTTGAGGACCGAGTTTGGGGATGCCTGCTCTAAATGATCTAAACTGCCTGTGTTTGGTTTGTGGCTTTCACTGTCAGTTTAACCTATTAGTGACTGAATTTCATTATAGTTTGTTGGATTTTTTTTCTCAAGATACTGTCCAAATTATTCCAAAGTTTCCTAAGTGGATAATTGTAACGTTGCAAACCTTTCATAATCAGCATGCTGCGTTTTATCATCTTAGATTTGCTCAGCAGGCAGGAACCTGACTCACTGTGTTTATGTCACATGTGACTCTATTAGCTACAAAATCCTTTTATGCAAACCACAAGGAAATAATTATGTTATTATAATATTTAAACAATATTGAACAGTTCTCCATTATGCAAAGAACACAAGATCAAAATAGATCAAAGATCAAAATAACTCTCTAAAATACTATAGTTACATTAAAATGCACAAATAGATATTAAATCTGTGCGGCGGCACCATCCTCTAACTTTGAACTAGCAGGTTGCCCTGGTTACACGCTACGTTGGGTTAGGGTTGTGGGTGCTGGGGACATGCTGGGGAATGGTTTTCCAAAAAAATCCGAATTGCGTTTCTGTGCCATATTTCCTCCACGTTTCTGTCATTAGACTATGTGCATTTACTCATCTGCTGCCATGGGCGGATACCGCTGCAACCACTAGGCTGCTTGACGTTGCCATGACAACATAACTGCTATGAACCTCTGTTGATTAGGTCTAATTAACTTAAAATCCAAAGTGCAAAATACTTTGCACAAATATATAAATTGTGCAAAGTATTTTTAATGCATGTTTTAAAAATCTCCCTCTTTCCACTAGGGGGTGCTGCAGCAACTCCAGCACTCTAAATTGCCGCGGCCATGCAGCAACCTCAGAAAGAGAACCGTCCGACTGTATCACTGGTAGAACCATGTATTTGTCTGACATGGGTTTCCTGTGGACTCACCTGTATCCATCAATAAAACTGGCGTTGATGTAATCGGAGCCCTCCACGCCTCTGATAGGCTGCATGCAGACACGGCTCGATTCAAACGGCGTAATGTTTGCCAGACGGTTCTTAAAGACATTACATGGCAGGTTAGCGCTGATGCATGTCTGGGTGGAGGTTTTCAGGCCTCCGTTCAGGGTCAGTTTCTGCAGAGACAGGAAGAGGTACAGGTCTGGTTAGCATTTCTTGTAGCCACAGTGGAGAGGAAAAACTCCCTTTGAACAGGAAGAAACTTCAGCAGAAACAGAACCAGGCTCAGTGTGAGCGGCCATCTGCTGAGGAGCCGCCTGTGGAGCTCGAAAAAATCAAAATCTAGATAAGTAATATTTTCTTTAAATAAGTGCATTTTTCTTGGCTTGAGGAGGTAAAAGAGAAATTTTACCAGTGTGGAGCTGGTTGACAGTTGCCTTTTGTATCTATGCTTCTTTTTCTATGTCTGCTCACACTGAGCCTGGTTCTGCTGGAGGTTTCTTCCTGTTCAAAGGGAGTTTTTCCTCTCCACTGTCTTAGTGTGAGGGATTGCTGAAGAGTCAATGAGTGAAAAAAGGCACCGACCTTGAACTCCTGTTCCATGGCGGTGACGTTCTCTCCTGGAGCCATCTGGGTGAGTCTCTGGATGTGGCTATAGAGGCTGCGGGCAGGAACTTCTGTTTTCCCACAGGCTGCAGCTTCTAGCAGGGCTTCATGTATAAAGATGTACTGATCCTCGGTTTGCACCATGTAGTTCCTCTGAGCTCTCATGCACGTCACATGACCATAAATGTCCACAGACTTTTCGTATTTCATCCTCTCCAGCATGGCATCTATGGCAATGAAGCAGCCGGTGCGGCCCACCCCCGCACTGTTAACATGTGCAAAAACAACAAAATAAATATTTAGTTTGTAGTTAAAATAATAAACATTTAACTTGCTAACAAATTTTTTACTGACAATCTAAATATTTAGTTTGGAATTTTGTTTTTTATAAATGAATGAATGACAGAGAGAAAAATTTAGCTGGAAAAATTTGCATTTTTTGTCATAAAACACGCTAAATAACCATAAATATTGCTCCATCTTTTTGAATGCTTAACTTCACAAACGGCGCCCCATACATTTGAACTCACTGCATATAGTTCAGGCAAGTTGTTGTACATGAAATTTTAGTGGCAACACAATTTAAAGAGCTGCAGATGAGAAAGAAAGAAAAGCACATTGCAGTGGTGCAGAGGCAACAACAAATATTTAAGAATTATTAAAATAAGGCAATTACATTCAGAAAAAGATCAAATGATTAATATAAAAATGGAAGGGAAGTTGGAGTGGAAGCAGCACAGCAGAAGGCCATCTAACAACACATGCATGTTCAATCTCCATTTAAAGCAGCTGAGGGTTTAAACCCTTTAATGGTTTCCTGTGAGTTTATTCCAGATTACTGGAATAAAACAGATAAAAGTAGTTTCTCCATATTTGGTTCTACTATTATCTTTTCTCCTGCCTCGCAGCACCATTACTTTCTGATCTGAGCTCATACAGAAAAAAGTGAAATGTTTTCTATAGAGCAGCTACAGTATCCTGGTGAAACTGATAAGCCAACAGGGCAAATGTGTTATGATCGTTCTGTTTAAGTTTTTATTTTTTGGGTTTTCCAGTTTGTTTTGTTTAGTCCTCTGTTATCTAGATTTAGATAATTTTTCTATTCTTAGTTTTGATCTTCCTAGTTTTCTCTTTTCTTCAGCATTTTTGGTATTATTTATTCCTTAGTCTACTTTTAGTTCTAGCTATTTTTCTCTTATCTTTAGGTTAGGTTTTCCATGGCTTCAGTTATCTTCAGTCCCTTCTTTTCTCTTCTATTTTTTTCCTGGTCATTTGTTGGAGTTATTATGATTTCTGTTGTTTTTATCATTTTATTGATTTATATCTTTTATATTGCTTTTATCATTTATATGTTCTATATGTTACTCTCATCATTGGAAATAGTGTATGAAGGCCATAAGACGGTCAAATGTTTTGCAAGAATGCTTTCCTGTTTTTCATTTGAGAAGCAGAGAAGTGAAAGGTCATAACCCCAACACCTTGTGTAAAGCGTATGCTGTAACCAGGCAAGTTCCCTATCTTAAAAGTTCATGCTATGTCTAAGAGATTGCGTAATCGAAAGTAACGCCTGCTGTTGTAATGTGTTGACTGCTCAATAAAAAGCCTGGCAAGTGTTGAGCCAAGTGGAGATGCAGAGATTGATTCTTCAACTCTGGACTCCTCTTTGCAAAGCACTTCAGGAAAAATCTTACACTGTCTTTGTTTCATTTTTTATAAGTTAAAGTTGGGGAAACTTAACAACCCTAACATCATTCCTTATTTTCCATTGGTTAGTTTTATTCCCCTTTAGCCTTTTTTTCTCCCTGGTTACTCTCTGCTGCCCCCTAGTGTCCTTTGCTCCCCCCTTAGCTCCCTCTAGTTACTTCTGTTCACACCTGCTCCCTATTAGCTAATTATTTCTCCCATTGTTTCTGTCTCCCATATATACACCTCCTGTTAACTTCCTCATTGCTGCATCCTCGTCATTCTTTAGGTTATTACTCCCTAGTATCTCCTAGTTTTGTGGTTCTTCAATTTTCTTGTCGATCGTTTCTGGACTGTATTTTTACTTCTTCATTAAATTTAGCAAGTATTCATCTCTGCCCCTTCTACTCTGCATTAGGGTCCACAGTCACATCCACCACACCTGACAAATGGAGCAGGAGGTGAAATGTACAATAAGAGCAACTTGGTGAAAAGCTAAAGCAGGATTTTAAATGTCCCTGTCAAAGAAAGAGCTTGTTTACCTGCAGTGAACCACCACCGGTCCAGCGTCGGGTGGATTACACGCCCGGACTCTCTGAAGGAAGCCCAGAAACGGGGTGGGATGCTCAGGCACTCCATGGTCAGGCCAGGCTAGAAACTGAAGCTGGTGGACCTCTCGTTTCTCACATGAACCCTTCTGTTTGAGTACAGAGAACCGCAGACGTAGCATTTTCCAGAGACTTTGCATGTATTTCAACATTTACTAAAATCTAATGTAGTTTACAGAAATCTACAACTTTCTCTTGGAAGAAGCAGGATAAGGATTTGCTGTAATTTGTTCAATTTGTAAAGAACACCTCGTAGAGATTTCATCTTTCTGCAAACAAGTGCATCAATGCTCATTAAGCCTTAAAGATGTTTGGGGTTAGACTCCTACCAAGGACAATAGGAGGGATCAGGAGGTTACGCAGAGGAAAAGATTTCTCCATCTTTTGCTTTGAATGATTTATGGTGAAGGAGTCTAATATTTGTTTAAACATGTTAAAGATTAAGTAGGCTAAAATAAAAAAAACAAAATGACGATAATGACCAGATGATGGTGCTTGAATTGGGAGTTTTACAACATCAATAACTTCCTGCAGTTCATTTGAAACAGGCAGATTATTCCTGAGAGCCTCTGGATGGAAATGCTGCTTTAAAGCTTTGCAATATCTCAGTGATCCAAAGAAACCTTCTTTTTCTGGCTAAGCAGAAGCAACAAACAGCACAAAATGGAAATGACATGAGAGCTGTTGAAAACAAAATTTTGTTTTGTATACACTCTGTATGTGCAAAGTGCCAATAAAGTCTAAGATCCTTTCATCTCTTTATTTTCATTAGAGCACTGTTGAAAGTACACCCACGCACACACATAAGCTTTGTTTGCATGACTTTTGGGGACATTCCATTGACCTACAGTCATTTTATATAACCTAACCCAGAGCCTTACAGTAACCCCAATCTAAACTGATTCACAGCCTAGACCTAATTCTAATCCCTAACCTTAACCTAAACCAGGTATGCCCAAAGTCGGTCCTCCAGGGTCACCATCCTGCAGGTTTTAGAGGCGAGACTTTGGGCAGGTCTGACCTAAACTGGATTCACATCCTAGTCCTGCACCAAATCCCAACCCAGTGAAGACAACTTTACCATTTGGGGACCAGCTGAATGCCCCCATCTGCACCTGTAATCGCCATGATACACTGCCCCCAATTGTAGCTCAAACAAACCCCCACACACACCAGAAGGCAGTAAAGTGGTCCAACAGGAAATCCATGACATGCTCCCACCTTGTTAAGGTTGAACCTCCGTGTGACATAGGTCGCCAGCTCCAGAGAATCCAGTATGGTCACCTGGACTGTTCCATGTGTCTCAGTACCACGACTGGGCCAGTACTGGTCACACTTCACCTGCAGACAAGGACAGCAGCAGAATAAACTATCGTTAGACTTTAAGCAGCAGGCCATGGGTTTAGGAAAGGCCATGGATATTTTTGTTCTTTAGATTTTAGCAGCTTTTTTCCCCAAACAACAGATGTCATTTAGACATTGTTTTTAGGCTAAATCTGGTCAGTCAGTCTGGATTTAGTCCAGAAATAGTTGTTAAAAATTGTGCTGTGTTTGGTCAGTCTGATTTTGTCCCACTTTAGTCCATTAATAGACGTTGAAAAGACAAACCCTGTTTTCCATGTCTTTGCAACAATCTGAAACTTACGGCTTTTCACCTTTCAACTAAATGTCGACGTTGTTTGGATGTAAATCATGTCGTTTTTTCAATGTCTTTGCAACCAATAAATTGACTCTGTCTACAATCGTCACGGATAGCAAAGCTGTTCCCACTGTATGGAAGAGAAACACAGGAAATGAGATTAAACTCCTACCAAGTTCCAATCAAAGGCTTTCTAGACGGCTTTAAAACGATTGATTGGTTAATTCAGCTGTTTAACTGAGCTGTGAGATGGAAAAATTTGATCACATCCTGGGATGCTTTAGATAAGACACAAGTTCAACATTCTGCCAAACAACCAAAACTATCATCCTAACCTCTCTAAACCCACTACTACATGGTAACATCTCTAATGCTTTATCCCCAACCTCGGCCTTGGACTGTCCATCTACACCAGGAGATGCTGGTTCTGGCTCCTTTTTCTGAGGCAGCGGCTTAATAACTATAGATATATGTTTTGGCATTCTACATCACGAAGGTCCTACACTCCCATAAAGACGTTCCGAGAATGAGAAACGCCATGGGAAAGGTTAAGATGGGGAAAGAGTAAAAATACTCATTGTTAACCGGGACAACAACTTTTAACGCCGTCTCCAAGAAGTAGGGTTGGGAATTGATACGATTTTCACAACTCTGATTCCCTTATCTACTCTGTGAAACAATTCGATTCTCTTATCGATTCTGTTTAATGAAAAAGAATTACTGTACAATTATAGGAAATAAATTCATCTCCCTCTGATTTAAATAAACAAGCATCACCTTTCACCTTTACCTTTCTCTCGCTCCCTGAACTGCGGAGCAACTTCATAGCATGTTTCGTTACGTCCATTGCAATAGCTAGAATCATGTAAGAATTCCAGCTACCAGTAGTTCTAATTAAACATGCTGGCAATGAAGGGCTGGATTATCGAGAAAGGCACACTCCCTTAATAACCCCAAAGAGAGGTAGGAAACGGGTTTATTTCCAGAAATGGCATCTGATTTACTAGGAACCACATTAAGCTCAGCCAGTGATATAAAACTAGCTACTTCCCACCAGTTTCCTTCCATGCTGGTCGTAACTTTAGTTTCTGTCTGGAAGCATTAAAAACGCAGCATTTTTTAAAATGTATGCCATGTTGTGTTCGAAAGTGTTTCTACATGTTGGATGTATTTCCTCCTGCGGATGTTATTGGCACTTTGCAATGAGTGCAAAGCGCCTTGTTGCCATCTTTCTGTTCTTTAAATTGAAGCTAAACTTTCGATCGCTTTGAACGCTTTTGTTTTGCTTTTCTAGACTTACGCCTGGTCAAATCACTAGCTTACTGAATGCCGTGTGCGTAACTTGCCAAAAAAACGTCATGTAAATCATGCTGCCCAGCGCTAGGCTCCTGTGCTGCCTGGAACCGTTAAGAGAATCGTTCTGCTGCCAAATGGTGCCATGGAATTGGAACACATGGAACCGGTTCTGAACAGGAACCAGTTTTCGATTCCCATCCCTACCAAGAAGGGACAGAGCAGACTAGACTTCTAGAGGAAGCTTAGGTCCTTCAGGTGCTGCAGACCTTCTATCAGTCTAATCTATTCCTCCATCATCATCATCTTCAGAGCTTAAGACTGAAAAAAGCTCAACCAGCTGATAAAGAAGGTCAGCTCTGTTCTAGGAACTCCTCTAGAACCTCTGGAGGTGAAGAAGATGATGGACAGCAGTGAGCATCCCCTCCACCAGACTGTTAGACACCAACAGAGGGTCTTCAGTCAGAGGCTGATCCAGATTTGCTGTTTCTGATGCGATTCTTTGACCAACACCACATTTATGCTTCCAGTCGATTGCGCCTTTCAGAAAAATTACTCTGCAGTCCACCTGCTCAGTGTATCAACAACTTTAGGTGTACCTTCTGCATCCAAATGTTACTCAATGTCTAAGATTAAACTTAATTTCAGAAACATAATGTTTTCATTTTCAAAACCAATATATAGAAAAGTGAAGGATTAGCGGTTAGAAAAGATTAGCTAAGTGTTGGGTAGTGTCTTTGGCCTCTTTCTCTCTGAAAATAGCGGGTCGACCCGTTAACATTCTGCATCTGGCTCCCTTCCCACTGGCAATAAAAAGCTGGTCTAACCCCTCGCTGGCAGCTGCGTGGTCTCTGACCCCCCCGCAGCTGTGTGTCTGGTGATTCCATCATAATGGGTTAGTATTCATGAGGTCGGCAGTGCGACAGATATCAGGAAAGTAAACAATGGACAGCAAAATGTAAGGAAGCCAGGGCATAGTCAGTGTTCTTTACTGTTTCTCTCTATTATTACTATTATTATCTGTCTGAATCGCTCTCACAGTTGTTTCTGCTTGTTAGATCAGAAGTGACTGGGGTGGTGTATTGGCGTCCGTATGTTGCATTCAATGGTATCACTTAATTTAGCAGGTCGACCCAGCTCTGGTGTTCCCACAGCATGCCGATCAGAGCCGAGGAGGAGGAGCAGGTGTGGAGTTGTTTTACCCAGGTAGACACCAATAGTCAGCTGTTCCCACTGCCACTAAAAGCTGATTCAATCCCCCATGAGTAATTTCTAGGGATTGGGAGAACATAACCGCTTTCTCAATTAGTAAAAATCCCATCAGACTGTCAGACTATATGTGAGAAGGATGAGTACGGTAAAGGAAAAAAGCCAAACTCCTGCTCATCGTCTTATAACCATTCATACTATATATAAAACTCAACCAAGAGAAGCTCACCCTTGACTTCTCCTCTAGACGGGTCATCATAACAATAGTGCAGGTCCTCTGTTCCCAAACCATCCTCCAGAAATCACAAACGGTCTCTGGCAGAGGGCCCTGAGTGGCAATATAAGCGTTCTGTTTTCTGTAGCCGTCGATGTAGTTGGCATTGATGTAGCTGCTTCCTGGAACTCCTACAGGGGAATATAGGAAGGACACAGCGATAAGAAGAAACAACATCCAACTATTTTTCTGTTTTGTTTTATTTTAATGCTTGTTCTAAGCACTGCTTTGCACTGTTACAAAAGTGAATATAAAATAACTAAAAATCACTTGATTTGAAAACAGTCCATAAAAACTACTGGTGGAGGCAAGAGGAGCAAAATCTGATGGAAATGCCTCATATGAGTTCACCATCAACCAACAGGACAATAATCTGAAGAGACAGACCACATCTATCCTCCATAACTGCTGATACGATGGTCTGACTGGTGATTATTATGATTATAGAAGAGTCTGTAGAGAATCTGGACAGCCCTCCTTCCAGCAACCTGATTTGTCCACAGATTGTACAATTCATGTAGGGATTCTGGCTCATCCAGTCCAGATTTTTATTTTAATCTAACCATTTTGACCATGCTGAAAGATTACTTTCACTTGAGGCGTATCAGGCTCCTCTCCTGTGGAACCAACTACCAGTTTTAGTCCGTGAGGCAGACACCCTGTCTACTTTTAAGGCTAGGCTTAAAACTTTCCTTTTTGATAAAGCTTCTAGTTAGAGTGGCTCAGGTTATCCTGAGCTATCTCTATAGTTCTGCTGCTATAGGCTTAGACTGCTGGAGGACATAGGGACCCCTTTTTCATCATTCTGCTTCATTCTATCTCTATTCTCCCACTCTTGTTTTTTTCAGTTTGACTTTTCAGTGTAAAAAAAGCATCATATCAAAAATTCAGACTTTCAGAATTCAAACTCAATATTTTCAGCAACTGAGATTCAACTGGCTCTATTTCACTGTCTTAAATTCGGCGTCTTAATTCAGTGTAAAAAGGGAAGGGTTACTTCAGGTCACAGACATTAGCAATGGATTGTGGCGTCCAACACCCAGACAATCCTGTTACAATACTTGCTTGCAATTGCAACTTGTTGCAATACGCCTCCGTGATTCTGGTTTTAATTCACCTTGAGCTCAAAAAACGTCCCATCACGTGACTAAGAAATTGTAACGGGATTGGCTGGGTGTTGGACGCCAAAATCCATTGCTAATGTCTGTGACCTGAAGTAACCCCTCCCTTTTTACACTGAATTTAGATACAGATTTTAACACAGTGAAATTGAGCCAGTTGAATCTCAGTTGCTGAAAATATTGAGTTTGAATTTTGAAAGGCTGAATTTTTTGTATGGTGCTTTTTTTAATACTGAAAACTAAAACTGAAAAAAACAGGTATTGAAAATTAACTGTGAAATAGTAATGTGAATTTTTAGCTTAAAGTGAAAATAACATACAATTTCAACTATATAGATATAGTGACAATGTATTTTTTTTTTTATATTTTAACACAGAAATATTAAGTACAAACAAACAACGTTTATATTTCAGTGATATTTTTAATTTAATTCCCAGCGGCACAGATTTACTTCCATAGCCTCGATTTTAGGATTCATTTATTGTTTTCATCACAGGTCAGTTTAGATCCAATGTGGTTTTAGGTCCTGTTTGCTAAGAGGTTTGAATAAATGTTAGCTCTGCAGGTTTCATATACTTCATCATTTCTCAGACTTTAATAACTTAGTTTCTTCTATATTTTCTCATTTTCTCCACACAATAAAATCCTATAAATCTCTGAAAAACATTTCAATCCAAACCATGTTCCTTACCTTCCATCTTTGCGAGGATGACCCTGGAGTGGTCATAAGCGATCACGTTTGCATAACGATTCTTGGTCTTGTTAATATCCAGGTTGGAGTGCTCCCAGGTGAGCTGCTGCCCAGGATCGATGGTCTGCAGCACAGGAGGAGCTGGATTTATTAACACGTCTAAACAAATCAACAGATTCTTTCAGCCGTCGATCCAGATTATCCACATAATGAAATGGGTCTTGACTAAATGCAGAGGAGGAGCCTCGTTTTCTTTTTCAAATGACTGTGCTCTATTTCATAATGGGTATGTTACTAAATAAATCATAATAAGATTAAAAGGCAATTCTCCATCTGGCTATACTAGTTTTCTTTTTCCATCGAACAGTCAGTGATTATACATTTACCAGACAAAGCAGCCCCTTTGGATGTTATCATCCCATTAAATGCTTGTTATCAGCGGTTATCAGTCCCATTGAATGCCTTCAGATTGTGTCTACCAGTAGCTCAGTTGGTTATTATCACAGAGTGAATCATAATTGTGACCATAAGCTAATTCCTTTCCTTGCAGAATTAATTAATGTATTCATGTGTAATCTGGATATGATTTCAGTAGTTCTTTAAAAAAGAGTTGATCGGCATGTTGCTCCTATTGAACAACCCCTCTCAAAAAAATCTCATATTCTGTCAATTAAATTGTTTTTAAACACCACATCAAATCCATGTGACTGAAACATGTGAAATTCACTGGAAGTTTAGCTTTAAAACACAGTTTTTTAAGAAGGTAGGATGTAAATAAAGTAGATAAAATATATAAAGTGGGGAGCATTGCGCTGTGCTCTGAGAAGGTTGCAAGTACCCGGTTCGATCCCCACATCCTGCACTCTGGGTCCCTGAGCAAGACCCTTAACCCCACACTGCCCCAGGTGCCGCACAATGGCAGCCCACTGCTCCCCAAGGGGAGGGGTTAAATGCAGAGAGGAAATTTTTCCAGTGTGAGATCAATAAAGTTCAGTTATTATCAATTATTATTAAAGTACATAAATAAAAAGTGAAACTGAAGGTTTTAGACATGGGGCGGCTGTTATCAATGATTAGCTGCATATTATCAGCCATAAGAAATCTACTAGAAGGCAGAGGGACGCAGCAGGTTTGGGAAGTTGAGGCTCGATGTTTGCTTTCAGAAACCGTTTGACTAAAGGTAATCCAGGCTTCATCCACCTTCAGCACCTTTATTTGGGGCATTATATTACGGTTAACAGTGTTGGGCACGTTACTTTGAAAAAGTAATTAGTTATAGTTACTAGTTACTTCTCCCAAAAAGTAACTGAGTTACTAACTGAGTTACTACACAATAAAAGTAACTAGTTACTAATAAAAGTAACTATTGCGTTACTTTTGCATTTCTCGCCCCCGTAACCCTCCCCACCCAGCCCCCACCTTCTCGCCGTGTGTTTCAAAGCCAGCTGAATAGAGTGAACGACAAAGACAAGAACCTGCAGAGAGTTTAGCATTTATTGCAACTCAACGTAAATGACATCAGGGGGGAACGCCATGTGAGGGACCTATAAACCCGTCAGATAGCGTTCCCCCTGCTTAACATGGGGGGGACGCTATCTGATGCGGTGGAAATATCATCAGGCTGCATTACCTCTACTCATGGGGGGGAGTTTTTGAAAAGGGTGTTCAGATCTGGTGAGTGAATGAAATTAATAACTGGGGATGTTTAATTCTGAAATCTTGTGTCTTTGAGTTGTTAGAGATACTGCAAGAGCCATCCATCCATCCATCATTTGATCGTTCACGCTCTCCGTAGTTCTCCTGTGGCACGAGCACAGGGCGACTGTTGCGCCCCTTTAGCGAGCATGCGCGTTTCCTGTCGCTTGCGCGGTGAATCCTGCCGCCTGCGCTGTGCGGAGATGCAGGGGAAACCGTATGTGATCGGGAAACGCAGCTCGACGTAACACCGATATTTCCATGTGGAAAACGTTGTTTTGCTGCTGGAGTCCTCCTCACTCTCCATCTCTCTGTGTGTGCTGTACGTTAACACCTGCCAGCAGAAACACCCACCTACCCAACTGACAGATGGAATCTCACTATACATCAGCCATTCTCATCCTCCCCTCTCTCATGACAAGGCGCGCACGAGTCCTATCATAAAAAAAGGTTCATTGTGCGACCTGAGTAACGCTCAGTCACGAGGTGTCATCAATGGTAACTGCGTTATAGTTACAGTCAAAGTAATTAGTTAGATTACTCGTTACTAAAAAAGGTAATGGCGTTACTGTCAACGCCGTTACTCCCATCACTGATGGTTAATCCCGTGAGTTCATCAGCAGCAAAGAAGGATTTTAAGGCAGAATTTCCAAAACTGAATAAAAAGCAAAGTCAATCACTTAAGCAGTAAGAATGATAAACATAACTGGCAATTCCCAAACTCTCCAAACAATCTACTGTCTATCTGTGCAAAGATGAGGGAACTGACCTCAAACTGATGTATATTTAGATTTTCAGGCAAAACTTTGTCAGGCAAAGCAAAACAGAAAATCAGCTAAAGACATGCATAATGGAAATCCTTTAATATTTTTCAGCGTTTGGAGATTTTCTTTGCAAAAATGGCAATTTAGTAGTTTTGTTACAGTAATGTCAAGAAAGGAAGAGTCACCATAAATTGAGAAGAAAAGACGGACATGGTCAACTATTAATAGAAACCTGCTCCCTAAAACTTCTGTGCCAAAGACCAAAGTTGGCTTTCTTTCCTAAATTTGTTATTTTTTTATGTATTAATTCACAAAAGAAATGATTTGATTGCCTTACATGAAAGTTGTTAAATATCCCCAGAATGTTTTATTTGTGATAACTGATGGTGATACCAGATAATTCAACACACTCATGTCTGCTGGCGTGCATAAAGGAGAGGTGGTGTGCTGCTTTCACACTGTAACATCATTAACAGTACCAAGGTTATGCACCTGGAATTCTTGTGAAAACAGTAGACAGTCGTTGGCCCTGAGTCTGTCTACATGCTGTGCCAAGTCACAGATCGGTATAGGCGGATGTTCTTTCATCCCTGAAAAGACACATAGAGATCAACAGTTTAAAACAGTTAAAATCAAGAACATGAGGTAAGATCTATTCTTAGAATCTATTCAAACTCTATCCAACTGACAGCAGCTCTCCTCCAAACTCCCACATCTGGACTGAATACTGAGCCTGTTTAAATGCCTGTCGAAGGTTTCATGTGGTCTGATCCACTTACTGAAGTGGTCACCTGGTATCATGGTAGCAAGGCTTCGGACGTCAAGCCTCGACATGCGCTTTCGGGGAAACGCCCCCTCCACTACTCGACACAAGCCTCGGCTCATCTCATTACATCACTGCTCCTGACGCTGTGGATTGTCCTTGTGAAGAACTACCCGATCTCTGAATGTTTGTTTAACTGTTTAAATAAACCTCATTTATCTGCTATCTGTTCTGCTGTGGTTCTGCACGTAGGTTAGGAGACTGGAAACCAACATGACAAACAGTTCTGTGGGCTAAGGGATAAAAAGTGTCCACACATAAATACTCTGCTTAGATAGAACCAAGGATGCTGTTCTATTTTGGCATATTCTTTCATGAATATGCCAAAATATGTAAACCTCTGTGTTTGAGCCAAGGTGTTGATACCTGAGGTCTGACATTTCAACCTTCTCATCTCCAGAGGGTCAGCCATGCAGGCCATCAGGGGATCTTTCATCTCTAGCAGCTGTTCTTTCTTGGCTGAAGATGTGCTTTTCCTGGGGAACAGAAATGACCACTGTAAAAACCAAATCCTAATTCTGAGCCTGTTCAGTTTCCATAATGGGTTACCATGGAGACAGAACCACAAAGTCTCCATCTGGAGCTGCAGTGTTCTGTTGGAACCATAATAGAGGTCCCAGAAACAGAGAGACATCTATCATAGAGCTGCCATTCTAGACATTGTCCTCTATGAGCGGGTTCTCTCTAAATCTTAAGCTACTAATGAGAAACTTTTATCGGGTTTTATGGGCGAGGTCACAAATGATTCAGAAAATATATTAAAAACTAGAAATCAAAAGATTGTGAGAAGCAATCAATGTAAAAAGAGATAGAGATTTATGATAACAGATAAAAGCACTAACCTTTCCTGTTTACTGCACCCACAGACAACGGTCATGGAAGAAACATGGAGGAAAAAACAAAAACATCTTAAATGTTGCAAATCATT